TCTTCCTTCTTAGCCCTGCCTAAATCTACACCCCACATCATTCTGCAGACTGGAATGTAAAGAGGCAATTTACTGGATGTAAAGAGGCAACAAATAAGTGGACGAGACTCTCGTCCAGGCCCTGTAGCTCTCCTCTCCTAACGTCAGCTCTTCGGGGAATCCTTTACCAACAAAAACTCTGTACAAGGTTTAAAAATGCAGTTTCACTGGAAACTCCTTTCAGTTCAGTTTACAACAACTGAGTGTTACGTAGTGTTTAGTGTTCCGCCAGGCAGACTCAGAATAAACACCAAAGTGCTATACGGCTGCTTAGTTATAGCTATGAGCTACTTTTCTTTTCTTGAAAGACTGTTTTCCTGTATTTTTAAAACCCAATTTAAAGCCATTATTTAATACGGCTGCTTCTTAGAGGACACATGCATTCCAAATCAAATTTTCCAACACTTACTTTGTCTTTCTTGTCAACATGGCACTATGCTGACAGAGTCACAAACCCTTACAAAGGTTTCTTGTTGGCAAGAAACCCTCGCTTATCCTCTGCCTCCTTTGCCTCCCTCCTCTTTCTGCTCCCTCCTTCCTCCTGTTTTCTCCCCTCACCAATTTCCTGACTATACTCCTTTCTCACCCCAGACCTCCCCACCAGGACTGCTTACGTAACTTTGCCTTTATCTTAATCACATGGGTCAACTTCATAAATTAACTCATTTTAAACACACCAAACAGATCGTTTCTTATACATTTAATGAGGCGTTCACTTTAATTAGTTCACGGCCAAGTCTGCACCTGCAAAGCTTCCCACATGTACTGAAACATGTGATTTCTTGCCTTCCTAGAAAAAAGTACATATCAATCAAGTGATTGTGCTCTTTCTTGTTCCTGACCTTATGCTTTCGGTTTTTCTTCTTGCTTTGCGATGTATGGTAGAGGAAGTGTGTTTTATTTAAGTCTACTTATTATATGTACTGATAACATGGTGGTGGTTGTATGTCATACCAAATACAATGCAACATATTTATTCGGTCCCTGATCAGTCACTATTAAACCTAATAGTCGGATTAGGGTTGATTTAATTTAGGGTTCACTTAACCTAACTGCATATATGTGTGAATGTGTGTGTAAGAAGTGGGAAGAGGAACTGTCCATGCAATTTCAGCATATCGAAAGAAGTGTCTTTATCTTTGTTATATACTTGTCAAAATTAAAATGGTGTTACCTAACTAGGCATCTCCCAGAAGGCACTCAACAACATGCATTTGCATAGAAAATATCATGTCTAAATGTGCTAGGTGAATTATTCATTTCTTTACCTTGGTAATTCCATTTTTCAAGCTATGAGCTTAACTTGCTATTTGAGAAATCTTTTGTCCTAAAATTATCAGTTGGCTTGCCTCTGTTCTTATTAAGCAGCCCTAAAATGAACAAAGTTTTGAAGAAAAGCGCCTTATCTCACTCTTGAATTTTAATTGCAGTAGTGTTTAGAATATGCTTCTTTACCTCCTTTCTTCACAGCAGCTGGTCTACATTCTGAACCAATGCTAAGCAATCCTGATAATAGAGGCAAGCCAGCTGAGTTTCAAATAGGGCCTGTATTTAGAGAGAGCATCACACAGTTCTTGGGTAATCCTGCTGGGCCAATTTCCACTAATTTAATCAGCAGCCAGGTCCCACTAACTGTTATATGCCTCCTTGTGCAAAAAAAAAAAAAAAAAAGCCTTCTAAGGCTTCTTATAATTCATTCCAATTCGTGTCTTTAAATGGGGTTGTTCTAAAGTTACCCCCAGCATTAGACTATATAGGAAAGGATGAACGTCACTTATCAGCCTGGGCTTTTCAACATATGAATCATGAGTTCATTTGTGTCCCTTTTTATTCTGTTAAATGTATTTATTCCCATCGTGTCTGAATGGGCATACAAGTGTGTATGTTAGGAAGTAGATTAATATGAGGTGAAGGTGTGCATGTCACAGGAGAATGTGAAAGGTTCTTAAATCTTAGAAGAGTAAGAAGGAAATCCTGGGAAAGAATTAGTGTTTGCCTTACCCATTGCCCACCCCTTCTACTCAGACTCTATTACTCCATAGAGTGTGCAAGGCTGAAAATCTTTATGGAAGCAGACTGCTGTTACATCTTCCTCCCACAGAACGGTGGGGGTTTGGACCACCCACTTCCAAGCACTTCACCACTGTGCCACCAGGGATCCTTAGTGCTTAGCATTTGTTGTCGTTAGGTGCTGCTAAGTTGCTTCCAACTCGAATGAAAGGATATGTCGTCTTGTACCATCCTCACAACTATTACGTTTAACATAGTGCCAGGCAATAGTGAGGAAGGAATAATGAATCAGTCAATTCGTCTGTAAAAGGCTTGGGAATGCTGAAGTACAGATCTGCTAACAATAACAACAACAAACCGGTTGGAAACTATATTCAGTTGAACCTCTGATTTAAGTTGCTCATGGAACAATGCTGTAATTTGTGATCCTTAAACTCAGAGGTCACCCAGTCATAGGACAGCTTCAGATAGGCTTGCTCAGAATTCTGATTTATTGACCCTCACTATTGCTAGTTTCCTGGAAGTGTTTGATTGGAGTTGTAACCAAATACATATCTAGTTCCATTTTGAGTATCAGTGGAGTCAATGCAAATACTAGAATTATTGCTTCAACCAAGCCATAAAAAAACAAAACAAAACAAACTCTAACTGCCATCAAGTCAATTCTGACTCGGTGGCCCTATAGGACAGAGTAGAACTGCCCCTTTGGGTTTCTGAAGTCATAAATCTCTACAGGAGCAGAAAGCCTCATCTTTCTCCCTGATAATCCCTAATGCTAATGTTAGTAACCTGTCATGGCCAAATGCACTAGAGAAGCCCTAAGTTGTGACTCATTGAGACTCTATGGACAGAGTAGGCTACCCATGTGAGTTTCTGAGGCTGGAAATCTTTATAAGAGCAAAATGGCACATCTTTCTTCCAAATGGAACTTCTGACTTGGCAATCAGAAGCCCACAGGTAACAACTACACCACCAGCAACTAAGATACACAATGCACTAGCTCATAATTGAGTTAACTAATGAGCCATGGCATAAGAAGCTAAATTGTGTACATCAGTAACACTACCCTTAAAGCAGCAGGAGGAATATCTGGCCTGGATTATATTGGAGAGGTTAAAAGCAAAAACTAGTAGGTTTAGAACCTGCAGATTTGAAAGCTTTTCAAAATTTACTTAAACTAAAAGCATTGTATGAGAAGCAATGAGCGTTTAATCTAACAAAATGGACTCCCCACGTGCATGCGCGTACACAAGGAGGGGTGGGGTGGGGGGAGAGGTTAATTCTTTTGCAAACCCAACCACTTCCTCTTTATCAGAATGAAATAATTGGCCAAGAAAGAAAGTGAAACTTGGGAAGACAGTTTATAAATATTGTCCTCGACTAGACATAAGGGTTCTTTACTAAGGTAAAGAACAAACAAACAAAACTGCTGCAAATAATTTCTGCTTGACTACTAACCTAAAGGTTGGGTGTTTGATCCCACCCACTAGTTCCACAGGAAAAAGGTCTGGGAATCTGCTTCTGTAAAGATTGCTTAGTAGATGAGATTGAGTCCGTTTACAACCCTTGCTATGATTGAGCCCATTGTAATAGCCACTGTCAGTTCATCTCATTAAGGGTCTATCCCTATTTTCTGACCCTCTACTTTTCCCAGCATGATGCTCTTTTCCAGGGACTGGTCTCTCTTGATAAACTGTCCCAAGTGCATGAGCAGAAATCTGTAAAGATTACAGCCAAGAAAACTCTCTGGAACACTTCTACTCGGTAGCACGTAGGGTGACATTAAGTTGGAATCTATGCTCTATGGGCATTCTCTAGATAAAAGTTCTAAAACCCTACAGAACATTGGTTTTCAAACTTTTTGAGGCAGCAAATGATTTTTTTCAACAAAGTCTTATAAAACTTTCCAATATATAGAAACGATCGAAACAGAGCTTCACAAAGGATATGAAGAGCTATGATCTTTGATGCTCCTTCTCAGGATCCTGAGAACATAGAAAGCCAGTGATCTACAATAGAAACTGTTACTGTTGGTGGTGATGACAGCACGCTTTGAAGAATAATTTAATAATATCTTGTCAAGTTGGAACACACATGACCCTGCAATTAAATCCCAGTTATGTGCCCTAGAGAAACTGTCATCTACAGGGAGATCTGTGCAGATTGTTCATAGTAGCTATACCTGTAGTAGAAGAAAATTGCAAAAAAAACCCCAAATTTTTACCAATAGGAGAATGGATAAAAACATTGCAGCAGCATCTTCTAATAAAATATTATACAGAAGTAGAAATTAATGAACTAGAGCTATACCTATTAGATGAATCTTTCAGAAATGATATTAAGCATGAAAGAGATTGTAGAATAGATTTAGTCTGAAATAATTTGTATAACATTTAAAAACAGGAACCACAATATTATCTTGCCTAGATTAGCATATAACATAAACATATGCATGAAAATGATAAACAAAAAATTTAAAATAGTCTTTACATCAAAGTGGAGGATATGTAGTTAGGAAGGGGATGCGGGAAGCTTGAATATACAGCTTAACTTTCTTATCTTAAACTAAGTAGCTACATAGGCATTTGTCACATGATATATTTATACTTTTTTGCAGGCCTTAAATATTTCATCGTAAATAATGTTTTATTATTTTTTAAAACACGCTGTTTTAAGTTATGGAGCAGTGTTATCGTGCCTATTTCTTGCAATATTAGTATTTATTAAAAGTTATTAATGATCGGAAGGAACCATGGACGCATTGTGGGCTGAGCATGGGGCTGTGAACGAGAGGTCACCAGTTCAAACTCACCAGCAGCGCCATAGGAGAAAGATTAGGTTCTTCACTCCTGCACAAATTTACAGTCTCTGAAACCCTAAGGAGGAACTCGATTCTTTTATATAAGGCCATGTGAATCAGAGTTAACTTGAGAGTAGTAGGGTGGGCGTGAATGATTGGAGCCTATCTCAATAACTACATTCTAGTTATGTTACTTGTAACGTGTGTAAGTTCTGGAACTGGGGATCCAAGAGATGCCGAGGAGGGGTTTGGAGCTGAAACGGTCCCTTTGGCGTCACACCTGCGTCAACCACTCCCAGGTGTGAAGCCAATGCTTGAACGAGGAAAGCATGGACGAGGACACAGTAATGCTGAATGTTCCCTAAAGCTGAATGCCCCAGTGGAAAGATGGCTTTGCTCCCCAGTCTTGCCCTACCCACAATTTCTGGCATTAAAGTATCTTTTCTTTTATGAAAAAAAAAAGTGTGTAAAAATTATTTAGATATATTTCTTTTCTCCTGCAACCATAAAGTAGCAGAATCAAGACTATACATAGCTCTGGCACTATTTTTTATTCAACTGGGCTGATGCCGATAAACATAGCCAAATTGCTTTTCAAAAAGGCTTTGTTATTATGAGAAGATAATTGGTACATTTTTCTCATTGGTTATTGCTTACCAGTTGCCATCCAGTCAGCTTGAATTCCATAAGATTTTCAGTGACAATTATTTTTTAAGTAAACCACAGGCTTCTTTCCCGAGGCTCCTCTGAGTAGACTTGAACTTACAACCTTTGAGTTAGCAGCCAAGTATGTTAACTGCACCATCCAGGGACTCAAATGGGTTCTTGCTATTAGGGATTCAATTTGTTTTTGTCTTTAAACCTTGTAGCTTACACATTTAAGACTCAAAAACAAACGAACAAAAAGCCCACTGCCATTGAGTACACTGTATGACAGAGTCGAAGTGCCCGGTTGGGTGTAAATCTCTACAGGAGCAGGAAGTTTCATTTTCCCAGCAGAGCAGCTAGTAGGTTCAGACTGCTGACTACGGCTAGCAGCCCAACACATAATCCTGCATGCCACAAGGGCTCCGCTTATGTGGTAGGACTTTAATATCTGTATAAATGCATAGCATAAATTTACTATGCTGACCCTGTTCGTGTGCACAAGTCAGTGGCTGTACGTGCATTCAAAATGCTGTTAAGCCGTCCACTCTTTCATCACTCCAAACAAAAACCCACTGGCTAGGCTTTTTAAAGCCAATGATTTGTATCTTTTTTCAGTTCTGAGGTACTTTCTTCCATCATTTCTTTGACTATTTCCTTCCCCTCTATTTTCTTGGTTCACTCCTAATACATTTAGAAAATGAATATTAAAAATTCTTGAACTAGTCTTCATTCTCTTAACATTTCCTTTGTCTTTTGAAATACTTTTGCTTGATCTTCCAGTCTACTAGTTACTCAGTATTTTCTGATGTTCAAGCCAAATTATTGTAACAATAATCTTTGTATCACCTCCATGTGCATATTCTTGCTTTCTCTTTCTGACTCTCAATTGGTTTGTTTTCTTGTTTTTAAGATAAACTTTAAGATTCACAAAAAAATTATAGAGTTTCCATATACTCCACACCCAATTTTCATTTTTACGAACATTTTATAATACTATGGCATGTTTGTAATTAATGAATCAACACTGATACATGATTATTAACTAAAGTTCATACCACATTGCACCTAGTTGCCATATCTCCTTAGGTTCCTCTTGGCTCATACACTTTCTTATATTTCTTATTGTTAATGAGCATTGAAGAGATTTATGGCGTTATTAGCTTTTGAAATTGTAGGTTTGGGGAAAGAAAACTGCAAGGGCAAAGTATGAGTTGCATGACATCATGGCAAGGCTACATACTCTTAATATGACATTGTTGTAGTTAATCTTGATCATCTGGAGAAGGTAGTCTTTTTTTTTTTTTTCAGGTTTCTCCACTTTAAAGTTACACTTCTTTTCCATTTCTATACTGTACTCTTTGGAAAGAAGTTACTATGTACAACCCACACTTAAGGAGAG